AGCCCTCCGGCACACACAGCACTCAGTCTAAATCTGTTCTTCACTTTATTCTTTTACTCCCGTATTCACCATCATACTTGATGGCATCAATTCCAGCTGTCACAGCCAAACCCTAGGGCCTGTTTTGCCTTGCCTCCAAGCCCTCATCTGGAGACCACCACACACCGAATACCACCACACAATACGTCTCGCATCGCCAGAACCTCATTGGGGCCCCCCTTGCCAGGATCCTTGGCACCCCAAGTAAGTCCCCATTTTTTGTTCATTTTTTTCCACCTGTATCCCATAGACACTGGTTGTCCCTACACCACTCACATTCAGTCATGCAACTCTGTACTGAAATTAATTTGATATTTTATTGGGGGGGCGGGCAGATAGAGCTTTCACCACCAGGTTTTTTATTTTTTTACTATATAAAGAGTAAAGTACCAAAAATTTTGAAAAAACATTTTCAGTTACATTTCCGTGACCATGTCAGGTAAATATATACCAAACATGTCAAGCCTTCAAATTGCGTGTACCTGTGAAATCCCAAAAAACGACCATACCCAAAATTTACCATAGGCAACACGTTAAAAGCTTTTACTGCTCATTAATTTAGTATTAACCGTGATTCATGGCCCTAGAATGATTGCTTGAACTCCGATGTTCGCGGTGACATGTAACATGTGTGGCACAATAGTCTTTTATTGCACATAGGCAGACAAGGGGGCGGGGGGCTTTAAAAACATTGTTTTTTATATATGACCTTTTTTTTTTTTTTTTACACTTAATTGCTATCAGATAGGGGGCTAACAAGCCACCTATGTGATAGCACAGATACAGTGATAGGTCCTCTTAATGGAAAGGTCAGGGGTCTATAAGACCCCTAATGTCACCTATAGACCCCAAAGAAGCTGATGAAGCAGCGATCATGCTTCACCTGACGGAGACACACTGAAACTGGAATTAACCTAAAGCAAAAAGACAAAAGAATAGGCGAAAGGACTACATGACAAGGTGGACAGGGAATCAGGGAGAAAGGGGGGCTGTGGGTGATGGTCACTTACCTTGATTGGCTTGTTTAAGTTATCCAGGAGGAGTCTCTGCGGTGGTCTGAGGTGGCAGAGGGTGGTCCAGTCAGTCAGGAGCTGTCACATGGTGAATACATTTGCCGCCTTCCCTCCCTATGTTGTCCCTGAGTCGGTGCATTGCGGCTCGGGGCCAGTTGCATAAGTGGTATGCAGAGAGCTACGGTATCAGAGTAATGATGCCCTCACAGACCTCAAGCCATATTGGTATAGGGATACATTGGCATTCATATTGGTATAGGGATACATTGGCATTCATATTGGTATAGGGATACATTGGCATTCATATTGGTATATTGTAATGTTTATGTTCAATTCTGTTTAAAATTTATATTTGTAATAAACAGCTGCTACAGCCATTTTTCATCCAATCCTCTCATTTTGAGTGGGTATTCAGGATGAGGAGGTGCTGCAGCAATTTTGAGTGGACTTGATGGCTTATGTCTACCCTGCCATGTAATACACATCACTTCTGGTTTCAGTGATTGGAGGGGGAATCAGCTGCTGGAAGTGTGCTGACCTGCCTCCGATATAACTGCACAGACCTGCCGTGCTAGTCCTAGGCCTGCACGCTTCCCAGCACCGTACAAGCGATCAGGTGGTTCAATTGTATGGTTTTTATGTAACAGCCATCGCCGGCTGTAAAAAAATGTTCAAAGCTTTCCTACTTTAAAAACGTCCACTTGCCCTCAAGTGCGAGCTGTCCGGCCGTTTAATTACAATGGCCGGACGCCAAGCAGTTTTTTTGATGATAAAAGGTACAATTTTATTTTAAAATAATGGTGTTTTTGCATATTTTGATTGTTTAGGAATGTAGTCATACAGACATATAAAGTTACTAAAAGGTCCACTTTAATATATTAGCGTAACATAACCCCTCGATGACGTATCTGTATAGATGTTGTAGAAAAAGCTGTACGCTGCCCAGATTAGTGACAAACGTTAAGACAAAAATGATGTTGCGTTTGCTGGGCGAGCTTGTGTTCGGATCAGACTTTGAAGCTGCAAGTATGGCTTCTGTGCAGAACATACAATATTAATAAAGAAAGCTGTCAAAAACCGCATTTGGATTTCATAGGGCTTTGTTCACATTTCCATTTCAACGCTCCCAGCATTGCTTACCCCTTGTGTGCCCAATTAGTGACAGTTTTGAGAAATTCATATGTGATTCAGGAATCGGGCTCCGCTGGATGAAATCATTCCACTTACCCATTGGGATTACGTCCTCATTAGGTCTTCTCTTGATCTCTTATCATTGGCTGGGATGCTGCAGATAATAAATGGGAAAGTAAAAGTGTCATTTTCACACCTGTCCTGCTTCTGCTATTGGAACTTAACGCAAGCTGAAAGGCCCAGTGACCTGATGATCAAGGGATGTATGCAACAAATGCAGCTTGGGGGATTCAATCGGACAGATAAGAAGCACACATTAATATTATTATGATGTGAGATGAAACCTGTCTCTGCTCTGATGTATGTATTAACCCCTTCACCTCCCTTATCCCGTACATCTGTTCATTAACCCCTTCATCTCCATCCTCCCACTATATGTGACCTGTACATTATCACCTCCACCTCCTTCTATGCATGCCCCATACATTTATTGTATCTTGTGCACCATTACCAAGCTCCATGTTTTAACCTCCTCAATACTGGCATGTTTATTTCATTTCCAAAAAGATTGCAGCAAAAAATCAAATCACCTTGGAGTGTCTGCTTTCCAAAAAGGGGGTCATTTTGGGGGGGGGAAAAAAAAAGGAGGCATTACTATCCTCCATCCACAGCACAAGATCTCTGTCTGCCCATGTGCGGGATCTGGTGCCGTGTTATTGGAGGGGCTGGCACAATAACACGGCAAAAACCAGCTGGCCCCCTGTTGGCTAACAAAGAAGATGGAGGCACGGGTCTAGATGTGTAGCCAGGGCCGGATTTACTCTCTCTGCTGCCCCAAGGCCAGGTTCCTCATTGAGCCCCCCTCCTCACCATACTCCCCCCTCCCCCATCTTCATTTTTTACAGTTTTCTTTATTTTTTTAATTATTATAAATATTTTTACCTTTTTTAATATTTCTCATATTTGTATTTTTTTAAAATCTTTTTCACTTTTTTTTATTTTTGTTTCTTATTATTTTGTTTTACTTATTTTTTGCATTCATTTTTATTTCCTTTTATTGTATGCAGGTTCCATACAAGTGATTTCTCCAACATCGCAGAGATCACTTGTACAAAACGAGCGGCGGCTTCCCCGCTCTACATTTAGCCCTGCTTGCCTGAAGCAAGGCAAAATGTAGAAAAAAACTACCCACCCGCTGCCTGGAACTGCATGTCTCGGGTGTCAGGCGATAGGAATTCCACACCCCTACCGCCTTTCTATTCCCTGCTCCCCTGAGGCCGAGCCTTGTGAGAAATCCAGCCCTGCAGGTAGCAGTACCGGAGAAGAGAACGCAGGAATCACTCGGCTTAAAGGAGAACTATGGGGTTAAGGCTTTTCCCCATAGTTCTCCTTACGGTAACGGGAGGACACAAACTAGCGTCCTCCCGTCACCCTAGGATCAGTATACCGCGAGCTGTAGCTCGCGGTATACCGAGACGCCGTAGCTGAAGCGGATCCCGAAAATTATGCCGGGATCCGCCCAGCTGCGTGACTGACAGCTGGCTCTGCCTATCTAGAGGCAGAGCCAGCTGTACCCGCCCCCTCCCCCGTCCATTCCGCCAGTCAGCGCTGGAGGATCGGAGCGGGGAGGGGGGAATCCAGTCCCTCCCCTGTCACGGCAGAGAGCCGTGACAGGATCGAGAGGTGAGCAAACGCCGGTTTGTGTTCGCTCTCCTCCCGATCTACTGAGCCGACCTGTGACAGTCTCATTGTCACAGGTCGGCTAGAACTATGAGGTGAGTGAAAAGCACTCACCTCATAGTTCTCCTTTAAGTTTGTTATCCTCCTCCTGTCACAGAGGACACCTCTCCTCTCTGAAGAGAGCTCTCCTTTCCTCCTCCTTCTGAGAGGAGAGGTGTCCTCTGTGACAGGAGGAGAAGGAAATGAGAGCTCCCTTCAGTGAGGAGGAGAGTGCTTGGTGACAGCATGCACACTGTGAAGGAGACAGTGGGCACATGTATGCCAGGAGGGGGAGAGGAGTGTTCCATTCAGTGAGGAGGTGGAGAGTAGTCCTCGGTGAAAGGAGGAAGAGAGGAGAGCTGGTGACAGGAGGAGAGGAGTCATCAGTGACAGGAGGTGGAGGGGCGTGCACACCGTGAAGGGGACAGCGGCGGGCACATGTATGATAGGAGCCCTCAGTGACAGGAGGAGGCGTGGCGTGCACACCGTGAAGGAGACAGCGGCGGCACATGTATGACAGGAGGAGTAGAGGAGTCCTCGGTGACGGAGGAGAGGAGTCCTCGGTGACAGAAGGAGGTGGTGAGGAGTCCTCAGTGACAGGAGGCGCGGCGTGCACACCGTGAAGGGGACAGCGGCGGCACATGTATGACAGACACCTCGGGCACATCTCGTCACCTCACATGGGATGGACGATAACACACGGCTCACGTCACAACACACAAAGACACCGGAGGCGTGACGGCGCCATGTACTGGTCTGCTGTGGGCCGGTGGGGGAAAGTTTCCGAGTTGCCGTGTTATGTATAGAGGAGGAAGAAGGAGCGGGCTACTGAGAGCCGTGTGCGGAGCCTGTGTCCGGGCTGGACTATGGATGTAGACCCCACTGACAGGCCGGGCTATGATGCAGCCAGAGCGGTTCTGTTATAGGTAACACCGGAGGGGACTGGATCTAGTGAGGACCGATCTCCGGGATCTATAGACGGGATCTGGACGTGTCATTGTGGATATCATGTAGTGCAAAGCAGTGTGTTGTGTCGTGACTGGAGAGCTCGTATTCTGTGCACACACCGTACAAGCCAGCCGGCTCTCCCTCCAGTGGATGCGCTGTGACCCAGCGGTGTCGGGGATGGGCGGACGACAGAGCAGCCCGGCCTCAGACGGTCGGACACGGGCGTACTCGGGTTCGGACATCCCTTCCAGCACCGGCCGGGGACCTATCAGGAGCCCGGCAGGGGTGGCTGCCTCCACCTCGTCCCCCCTCTCCAGGTACCCGTACAGTCCGGCAGGGGCGGCCGGCAGCGGATCCGGAGGATCGGAGCACACGCCGCCGGCTTTGAACGCCCGTAGCCGGTCTGTAGGGGGGATCCGCGGCCAGGCCCCGCTCAGCCAGGCCGGGCTGAATATTCCTGGAGCTGCTCGGGATTCCGGCAACAGCACACCCGAAGAGGGAGGCAGAGAGCGGGCACCGGGGGGAGGGGGAGGCTCCAGGCTGCTGATTGGATCGCTGCCTTCTCACCTCTCCCCGCACCTCTTTGGAGGTGAGTACGGTGACATCACGTGATCTCCTGAGGACAGAGGGGGGCTCACCAGGAAGTCACGTGCCTGGCTCTGCTGCTGCTACATAGTGGAATCCCCATTGTGTCACTGCACATAGAGCAGCAGAGAGCTGTTCACTGACAGCTAATGGCAGCCCTCAAGGTTAAACTTTCTCTTCATAGTTTTATGTCACCAAGGCTGATGGTTGCTTTTCTGGGAGCATGTTTGATGGTATAGTTCTTTTTATAACCACATGTCATTTATTTGTTGAGGCAGTATATTGTAATAACATAAACCAGGGGTGGCCAACTGCGGCCCTCCAGCTGTTGTGGAACTGCAAGTCCCATGAGGCATTGCAAGACTGACAGTTACAGGTATGATTCCCAGGGGCAGAGGCAGGTTGGGATTTGTAGTTAAAGCACAGCTGGAGGGCCAGAGTTGCCCACCCCTGCCCTAAACTTATCTCGGGGCAAGCAAGAAAACCCCTCTTGCTGTGGGCTGCCCCTGTATTGCAAGGCTCAAAAACTTGTAGGGAACCGGAGTAAAGAACGTTTACTTACCAGATTGCTGCTCCCCAGGAGGTCAGTACTCCCCTCTGTCTTACACACTGCACAGCCTGGTGGCATGTCCCCAAGCGTCCTCACATCTAAAGCAGGTCTATGGAGGCTGCGGGGACTAGTCTAACAGCTCAGAGGAAGCCAAGGGAAGTGTGGATCAGGTATATAAAATAGCTTTTTCTTGCCCGATAGGTATAAACAAGCAGTTAAGCCCTGACAGTGTGGGGTTGGTTTGCCCAAAGAAGGGCTTTAAGGCAGACATCATAATTCATTTTACATCATTGCAACTCTCCCCTCTGCAATGTAAAATGCCAACTTTTCTTGTTTGTTTACCTTCTTTTAACTCATACTCTGGCTTGCCCCCCTACTACCTCCATTCATGCCTAGGTGGGAATGGCGTGTCTCTCCTTCTGAAGCTTCTAGGAATATGCACGGCACATAGCCAAGGAGGCATTGACTTCCATAATGCGTTGTAGGAGTGTGAACTGGCATACGGCATCAGGGTGCCCGCTGCAAGAACCAGGAAGAGACAGTAGTCTCCCGATCTCGTGCCACCACGCTGGCTGCTGGCCCCCTAATAACACAACATGCACATATACTGTGCATTGATCTGAAGCCTCCTGGGGTGTGTGACGTATGTAGCCGGGGTACATCATTCTTGTCTAGGTGAGGGATCCAGAAATGCATGGTGTAAAAAAAGGTGTGATAGTAACGTGAAGAGGGTGAAGGTCATCTTTAAATAAATGTATAGCCAAATCTTTTCGTTTTGGGATAGAATAAGAAAGTGTTAAACCGCTACCAGTGTCCTGTTGGAGACATTTTTCCTTCTGTTCCTGTCCCAGGGTGCAACCGGAAGTAAGAGGAAACCTCCAAAGTGAAAGAAATTGTCAACAGGACAGGTGTCCCCATTGACAGATGTACTTTCACCTCTTATTTTTGCGACAACAGTAGAATTTTGTTCTTTCCATCACTTCAGTGACCGTGGGACAAATATGGAGGGTTATGGTCCCCTTTGGAGACACAAACTGCAATAAAAAATTGGACACCTTCCCTACTCTTTTCAACACCAATAATAAAGGTTTTGGCTATACATATACTTTAATATGAACAGCCTTCCTGTAAACATGTGTTTGCCTCCGCGATGAGGCCATGGGCATACCTAGAGAAAGGGGAAGAGCAGCAGAATTTACCAGATTTGTGTGAGTTTGGTGGGAATCTAACCTGTTTGGTCACGGCTTCTACTGAGACTGCTGAGTCAAGGGGGTGTGTGCACAGAGATAACTAGCACATGGTTGTCTCGCAGTCTGACCGTGGCAGCCATATCTGGGTAGAAAATAACAGTATCTCTATGGTCCTTTAAAGTAACAGAAGGCAAACTAAAACAGAAGCCGTACAGCAGGCACCATAAGGTGTCCACTTTTAGTACTCCCCTGATGCAAGAAAATTCTGGCACTCCCTGGCATTGGAAGCCACACTGACACTCTCATTTCTGTCACTCTGTGTCCGAGTGATCCATTGCCAGGTCTTGGTGCTGTCATATTTGGGATGTACTCCTATTCAAGTAGTACCTATTTCAGTTAGTATGTGTATACTGTTTTTCTGCACGCTTCAGTAGTGGACTGAGGCAGCAAAGTAGCAAATTGATTATGTGTCTGTGTACCTCCTGTGAGCTGAATGCAAGGTTCATTTAAAGTACACATGTAGTCAACCTAAAAGTATTACCCCAGGGGAAGGCAACCTTGGAACGCTAGCTGTCGGGGAACTACAAATCCCAAGAGGCATTTTAAGACTCTGACAGCTACGGGTATGACTCCCAGAGGCAGGTGCATGATGGGTATTGTAGTTTTACCATATTGCGCATTAAATGAAAGTGTAGGAGATAGTATTGCGCATTAAATGAAAGTGTAGGAGATAGTTGGCAATCACAGCCGCCCTTCCCACCCCGGGACTGTTTCCACTCCCTGACAGTGGATAACAGATATGCCCACCTATCGGTGTTCTACAATGCAATGCCTGTCAGCAGGCAGTGTCATGGCCACCTGGGGTCGTATCTGGGCTCATGTAAATGATGACTTTGATAAAGTCCTTATTTGCATAGGTTATTTGGAGAGGGCAAGGAGTGTCAAAACATACAAGCAAAGTTATGTGCTTACTGCTTTTGCTGTCGGCTCTCAACTGCACATGGTAATCTCCTACTCCTTCCCACAGGTTAGCTTTGAAATGGCGACAATCTTTTTCATGGCAGGCACAACTTGGCAACTTTTCTAAGCCGAAAAGCAAACTGCACAGTTGAGTCATGTACATTATGCATAACTGATCTGTTTTACCTGCCCAGAATATTTGGGATGCTGGCAGGCTGGCTTTGTCAAAGACCCTGGCCGCACTGTGTAGCCACATGGCAGTACCACTGTTTAAAATCTCTATGTTACTAATCATTTCTAGCTTGCTTATTGGATTATAAAAGAAAATCTCAATGTTGGAGAGGTCCGTCCTGTATTTCTTATAGCCTCCTAATAGTTTCCCGGCTTTCTATAAGCTTTCTGTCAGTTTCCCAACAGTCCGTAGTGCCTAAATCCCCATGGGGATAAAAAAAAAGTGCCAAAGCATTTCCAGCCATCATGTTTCCAAACAGCTGACTCCAACTCTCTTAGCTCGGCTTCCCTGAACTTCCTGTCCAGGATCACAAGGGACAGAGCAGACTCCAGCAGCTGTCAATCTACTAGCTAGGCGATGGAAGGGGGTAGAAAGGAAGAGGAGGGAGCAGGAATGTGTCTGTATGTTTATGGAGACAGGTGCATCTTAAGGTGCCCATACACTGTGCGATTATCGTACGATCAAGGGATTTCCCGCGATAATCGCGGGAAATCCCTTGATCGTACGATAATCGCAAAGTGTATGGAAGACATGCGACCGTTTTTACTGTACGGTCGCACGTCTTTTGTCTAGGGAGCACGCTAGAAAACCAGCCGAAAATCGTACGATTTTCGGCTGGTTTGAACGGTGCTCGGGAGACAAATGCCGAACGGGCCCGTTCAGCATTGCGGTCATTGGAAGCCCGCCCCTCAGGGGGGCGGGCTTGCAATGATCGAGAGTACGTGAATGTTTGGAGGACTGCCGGACAGATTGATCAAGTGTCACTGAGAGAAGGAAGTTGCCCTTTCTTAAAGTGCTGTTCGTTGGTTATGCATGTAATGATACATGCCCCTTGAAATGTCAGTTTCTTTGCTGTTATTATTTTAGAGTTTTGATTTATTTGCACGTTTTTTTTTGTTTTTTTTTTGAGCATTGGAGGGCCACCACAGAGCCCCTCCTTCCTTTTCAAAGTTTGTTCACAGCTTGAATTAATATCACGATTTAAATTTTAGTTTTCTGTGTTTTTTTACTACACCGCTGGCCAGAGGTTCACGTGTTTAAAATATACATGCTGAACCAATGAGGTTGATCACTGGCACTAATTCTGAAGGTTCCAGTGTTGATTTTTATTATTCTTATTATGTTTGTGTGTTGAACCTTCTAGTCATATGTAAATAATCCACTTGAATCAATTTTTTCACACGGATTGCTGTAATTTTTACACAGATTCGTTTATTAACACTTTAGTGTGCAGTTGGTTCACATAGACCGAGCGCAACATATTTGCTTTACATTTGATCGAGAGTACGATCTGCCTGTCCAAGATGGGCAGATCGTACGTTTTTTAAATTACTTTACAACCATCGCAAGACTAAGGTCTTGCGATGGTTGTAAAGTGTATGGCCACCTTAACTAGCATACACAAGGGTGGCTCCATAGGACCCTGCAATGGAATTGAGCCAACCTAAAACAGGGCCAGTATTCAGGAGACTAAAACTTTTAAACATCAAGGTGTAGCATCCATTGTAATTGATTTCATCAGCATTTAAAATGGTTCAAAAACCTTTAATATCACTTCAACAGCTTATACAGAGTTTTTTTTTTTGTCCAGGTTGTGTCCTGATGTAACATCGCAAGGAAAGACTTTCCCAAATTAAAAACTCTGCTTTGTAACTTTGTTATAGCCAATCAGCCAAAAAGCAGCATTTCAGATGAGTTCGGGCATACCCAAAATAAAGAATTTGTTTTCCACTCTAAAAAATGCTTTAATGGCAATCTCCAGAGAAGTGCATTTGAGATGAAGAGCATTTGTACGAAAATATACTTTGTTTTACAGCAACCCGTTATTGTCTCATGTTTCTATGGCAGATTAGAAACTTAAAGTAGAACCGAAGCCAAAACGTTTGTTTTTTGATAGAGTAAGTTTTGGATGAAGTAAGGGAGGGTTATAACTCTGTCAGCTTTTTTTTTGCCATATGTGTCCCATTTGGGAGATTTCCCTTCACTTCCTGTCTGATAACTTTGACAGGAAGTAAACGGAAATTCGGGATAGATACTTTTCTCTGGATGCAATCATCTGTCCCGATCCGCAG